AAAATTTTTTACATATAAACAGAAATAAAATCTATAGTTTAAAATTTCATGTCTGTATATTAAGTTTCTACAAGGTTTTGTTAAAGAGTATGGAACCAAATTGAAATGGGTTTATTACATTTTTAAATCAAAGTCTTTCTGTTTACAGCTGAGAATATTACATCATGTCATATTTTGTGTTCCCCAAGATGTTCCAAACATGATTTGAACATTAATGCAAAAGCTGCAGCTGTAGTGTTTATAATTTAAAAACACAATTAAGAAACAATAGATGTGAAACTAAATAGCTTTTCTGGTTGCAGAAACTATTTAATTCGAAGTCAAGTAGATGTACCAAAACTGTTACTACATTTCCCTTCACTCTTTCCCTTTCCAAATACATAAGTGAAACAGTAAACAGGTATAAACAGTTTTTTTTTTAATGGATAAAGACTGAAGAAGCAACTGGTTATTGTAAAGTAGAAAAATTAAAAAAAAATAAAAATGCTATTGCAAAATGTAGAACCCCTCATAACGAGAATTCGCAAAAAAAGAATCTTGGCCTCATAGGAAGGTGTCCATGAACAATAAAGTTGTTTCCACTTGAATTAAGTCATGACTCACTGTTTGGCAATGTTTAATTCTATTAATTGCATATATTTATTGCCATTTATTGTAACTTGTTAAACTTTTGTTTCATTATAATATTGTACACCAGAAACCTTAAATGATCTCCAAAGCTTTGAAGTATTTTAGTGAAACATTACTTTTATTCACAAATTCATAATTATAGGTGTCACACCAACTTTTAAAAAGTCAAGCACAGACTGAAAAAATAAAATCTTAAAGGGAATAATGAAGAAGTGAAGAAAAAGGTCGATAATCTCTGGGTTATCAAATTATTGTTTCTTTTTCAATTGTAGTAGATTTAAAGTCTGTTTTCTCTGTGTGTTGCCATCAGTTCTCTAGATTAAATTAATTTTCATTCTTTGGGTAATAAATATTGTTCCTATATTTCAAATTATTTTTAAAGTTCCCTCAATATTTCTGGCATATCTTTAAATCAATGTACATGTGGCTAATGTCTCTTTCCATATTACCTAAACCTGCAGTGAATCACATTTGAATCTCCTCTTTCAGTTCCCTCTGCAGAAATGGATTACTGAAGGATTTTAGAATCCAGATTCAATGAGCTTCTATTTAATGTATAAGGCTGGAGGAAAAATCAGAAATTATTTTCTTTGCCACTTAAAAAAACAGTGTGTTTAATATAAGCTACTTTCTTAGGCTTCTTTTGTATTTAATGAAAAGAGAAACATTGCTGAAGAAATTGTGTCAATCACTAACAAGTATCTGACACAGTGGTTATAATCCCCTCTAAAAAACTGACTTACTGACAATACAGAGAACCTCAAAGACTAGGCTTTAGTTATGCAAAATGAATCAGTTAATCCCACACCAAATTAAATTTCATAAATCACTGGTGGTCCACTAAGGTATTTAAATAGAAGGTGGAATTCAGCTCTCAAAAGCTAAGTAAAGTTACCTGAGTAAATACAGGCTGATAAAAAACCAACAAATTTCCTGAACCCCATTTCTCTCATTAATTAGATATCCAGAAACTATAATGAGATGTCAGACAAATAACTCGCATGCAAAACTTTTATATGTAGACATACACTTAGTCTCTTAAAGTGAAGCTAAAGCCAATTTGAGGACTATTCTTACTGTAACCTTAATTGGAAGATTCAAAAGGAATCTGTAAATTCTATTTAGATTTTATAGGCATCACAGCAGAAGGAAGAAAATGCAGAGAGGTGTGTTTACTCTGCAAATACTTCTTCACCCCTTTTATTTTTTTAATCCAGCATACTTATATTTGAATATTTAAAAAGAAATGAAACTTGATTATTTGTATCTACATGATTTGTATATGTCTTACCTGTAAAATCACGAGGACACAAACACTGAAACAAAGGTTGTTCTCTCAGTTGACTCATATCAATGCAAGTTGCTCCATCAGAACAATTATTTGGGTAAATTAAACATGCATTTTCAGCAAATTGGCAAAATTCTCCTGTCCATCCAGGTGCACAGAGGCACTAGATATAACAAACACAAAAACAAACAAACACAGAAAACCCAAAATAAAAATGCAATGTAAAAGTGTGTAGAATTTTCTTTGGGTTTTTTATTTTACTACCAATAAAGGTGTGGTAGAATGCAGCGTATTGCATGAAGCTGAGACTATTCCTCATGCCTGTATTTGCAGATGATAAAACAGTTGAGAGGCAAAACTCATCTACCATGTCTGTTGAAAAATTGTGGGGAAAAAAGGACATAAGTTGGGGGAAATGGTGAGACAGTTACTGGCTGTAAGGGATAAAAATGCCATTAGGAACAAAAGAACTGATTGTGCAAGAAGATTATAAAGGGTAGACATGAGGGAAATATTGGGCAGTGGTGATAACAGAGCCTGCAAGACAAACACTGTCACCAACCAGTAATCAGAAAACATAGTACAGGGTTTCTGTTGTACATGCAGACTCTATCTATTAAATAAAATAAAATTATTTTTTCAGAGGAAAGGGGAAGATCTGAAGCTTATATTAGATTCTCAAAAGAATCCTGTAAAACTCATACAAGTGCTCTGATTAAATATAATTAATAGTAGCTTGCCTTGAATCCCATTATGAGGGCAATAAAACAGTATAGCCAACAGAAGCATGCGAGTATTTCAGAATACTGGAATGATGTACCAGATTCACAATGCACAGACATTTTACATGAGTATGTGTGCATGTGACCACCAAAGACAGAGAGATATGCTGTAGTGACTCATACAAGTAAAAAGAAAGTAGCCAAAGAACAAGATTAGCATAAAGCACAGAAAATATGCAGAATGTATTGCTGACTACAGAAAAAAATTACTGTAAAAAGCTTCAAGGCAAGTAGTACCAGGAGGAGACCATCATTTTTTGAAGGGTGGGGGACTGCTTGGGGGAAGATAAAATATTGCAAACCATCAAATCTAGAGGAAGGATAAAGACAGAAGACCAGCTCAATTCAGTAATGACTTCTCTCTTCAAAGAACTCATGAGACAGATTACCTTGACCTTTGTTGTTAGGCATCACCAGGGACCACAGCCATCAGCACTAACCCTTCAGCACCAGCTCCACAGCATTGTGTGATCACAGAGTAACAGTATGTAGGTGTACTGACAATGCCTAACAATCTTGAAAACTACTAGCATTAAGTATGCTTTTTGTGAATTAATTCATTCAAGTTTGTTTTAAAATTTAAAACTGGACCTACCTTTCAGTCTTTTAAGCATTCCTTTTACAATGATCTCTGGTTGCCTGACATATATATTTTGTAAAAATGAACAGTACTTAAGTGGTCAAGTGAAGGCTTTAAGGGAACTGTACTGATGCAAATCCCTGACTCTGAATCTCTGCATTCAGTGATTGAAACAGCAGATAACTAAAGCAGATTGCCATCTCCAAAGTGACCTAGCTGTAAAAGGAGCGTGATAGCCTATGGAATAAGTGTGATGTATCTCCCAAGGCCTGGAAGAACACAATGTTCTCCAGCAGCTGTATATTCCTTTTAATTTTCTGCATTTTTATTCCTGCATCACTCTGTTGTGACAATGCCCATACACATCCCTGATATTTCCTGATTTCCCACCCCTCGATCTCCAGAAACACCTTTTACTGCTATGTACTGTCCTGGTCCTTGATGTTATGTTTGGTTAAATATGACACTACTAAGTGAAAGGTAATAAGAGGTAAAAACAAGATGGCATGTTTTAGGTAACTATGGGTTTGTCTGTCTTAGTCAGTTCACAAAGCTTATCCCAGGCAAACATATAGAAACATGCCATTTATCCTATTTATCCTATAAGTCCATATATATATTCATATATATATATATGCCAATTTATATTATATGTCAATATATTTTACATTTATAGGACACCAGAATTATTTAGGCTGAGAGAGATCTTTGAAGGTCATAGAGTCCTACTCCTTGCTCAGAGCAGGTCAAACTTTAAATGTAAGCTGATTGCTCAGGATCTTGTCTACTTGAGGTCTGAATATCTCCAAGGATGATAATTCCACAGCCTTTATGAGCAAATTGTTGCCGCGCTTAAGTACACTCACACTACATTATGAACAATTTCTTCACACTACCTCGCCATAATTTCCTTTGTTGCAACTTCTGCCAGTTGCCTTTCACTCCAGTGTCATGCACTTCTGAGAAAAATTTGGTTCCATCTTCTTTATGATTGCCCAGTGAGGAGATGAAGCAAAAAATTATGTCCCTATTCAGCTCTGTTTTCAAGGTTTAACAAAGACAGATCCTTCAGCCTTTCCTCATAAGCTACAAAGTTTTCACAATGTTGATGTCTCTCCGCAAGACTTTTTATAATTTTGTCAGTCTTATTTTTTGTACATTGAAGTTCTACACTTCACACAGTACTCCACAGGTAGCTCAAGTGCTGAGCAGAAGGGACTGATGACTTAATTTGACCTGCTCTCTGTGTCTTTACTAAGCAAGCCAGTATTAGATGAAGCTACCTACACTTTATCATTATTTGATTACATTGGGTCACTCCCTCTTCTTCCATGGATGTATCCTATCAAGCCCTTTGAACATTTACAAAACATTTACAAATATCCTCGTTGCCTATGGTCCTGTTTGGCATTTCTCTTTAACTAATGGTATTTCATTCCTCTAATTTTTTTCCATCTGGCATGGGATTTGGGAAATTTAAATGCACATATTGTAAGTGAAAACCAAAGCGCAGACACTGAATGTCATCCACCTCATTCAGAAGTGGGCATACATTTTCCGTGATCTCATTTTTTTCTGCCACTGTACCTATACAAATTTATAAGCTAGTTTCTCCTTTATGAGTATTTTTCATGAGGACCCATTTGGTAATTCTCCTTGACTAGACTCAACCTTTTACCTACCCAGACACTAAACATTACTATTTATTGGTAAAAACTGTTTAGCCAGTATCTTCTTTCTTTAAATGTTTTAAGTCCATTCTGCAAGAAAGAAATTCAGACAAGTTTACTGAAGGCTGACCCTATTTCTAGTAGATACAAGTTAACTTAAAAAAAATTGTTCTCAGAGATGGAATTGTGACTGTAGTTGTGAAAACTGCATTTTCTTTTCCTCTAGAAAAGTGACTTTTCTGCACCTGCAGTGAAAGGCATTGCTGTCAAGACAGCATTCAGGACCTGAATGACGATTTCCAGACTATGCCTGAATCATTTTGAGGATAACTGAAGGACAAGTCTTAGGCATGGATGCTTAAGCCAGCACTTTCCACAAACATTAAGCAATTTTTTTTAAGCTTAATTGTAATCACTTCCATGGCATACTGGTACAATAACCTTTCTTTTTTTCCTCCACAGTTTTCAATTGCCTAGTAAAATGGCTTGCAAAATGAAGATGTCTGTATGCTATACTTCTTTGCCCTTTTTAAAGTACATGGAGAAAATTCTAACTCAACCCAAAATTCAGGCATTAAACTGGGTATTAGTGCCTTCAATTTTTGATTAAACTTACATTATTCTGTTATGTTGTTAATTCCTATGCTCATATTTTCTTCTTTGCCCACTCCTCCCTGCTACCCCCCGTTCCACAAATATAATCTGAGTTATGTGAACATCCTTAGAAGTGTTCCTATTTTCAAAATTTTCTATAGGTATTTTTGAAATTAGGAACTGGAGTGACTGGTTTGTGACAAAAAGGCTTCAAGAACTCTGAACATGCTGTTACACTAAATGCTTAAAAATAAAAGTATTTTTATTTTTCTGCACTGATGGAGCTCTGAAAGTTGTTTAAATGAAGAAAACAAAATCCTTACCCTAATTTTAAAAAAAATTCTGTTTACATTTTTTTGTACGTAAAGTCCATTCCTAACTGAAATTCTAGAAGTCACTTACAATGGAAAAAATAACTGCAAGAAATATATAGAAATTTAGCTCCTAACCAAAAAAATATAGATTCTTAGTGGATTGAGGGATTTATCTGGGGAGAATGTTTTACTCACTTCCTTATTTGAACAGATAAATCTTAAAGCTTTATAATATTGATAATTAACCTACAATACCCCAGGACACAGAAGTGACTTTAAAACTTAAAACAAAAATTTAATTGGTCCTAACTTATTATATTTGTCAAATTTGCAGATGACACCAAGCTGAGCAGCGCAGGTGACATACCTGAAGTACGGGACATCATCCAGGGTGCTGAACAAGCTTGAGATGTGGGTCCATGAGAACTCATAACAAGGTTCAACAAGGCCAAATGTAAGGTCCTGCACATTGGTTGGGGACACCCCTGGTACCAACACAGGCTAAGGGGAAAGGGATTGACAACAGCTTAGTTAGAGAGTGTTGGAGGTTGGATGGAAAGCCAGACATGAGCTAGCAATGCGTGCATGCAGCCCATAAAGCCAGCTGTACCCTGGGCTGTATAAAAAGCAGCGTGACCAGCATGTCGGGGAGGTAATTCTGTTCCTCTAATACTGGTGAGATCCCACCTGGAGTGCTGCGTCCAAATCTGGGATCCTCATTACAACAAAGCCGTTGATATAATAGGAGTGGGTCACCAGGGCAGCCACAGAGGGCTGGAGCAGCTTTCCTAAGACTGGCTGAGAGAGTTTGGGTTGTTCAGTTTGAAGCAAAAAAGGTTCTGGGAAGATCTTCCTTTGACCTTTCACTAAAGAGGACTGTGGAAAGATGACTGGCCGTAAAATTAGAGGAAGCTGAGAAGTTATACGCACATCCTAACAGAAGTTAGGTATGGAAAATATAGGGTAAAATACAATTGTTGCTCCCTGGGTGGAATGCAGTTGGCATGCTCAAAACCTATTCCATGATAATTCCCCATACATATGACCTGGAACTATAGGCACCTGCTAAGGGGGGTGGAATGGAGGGTGAAGCAGAGCCAAGACACCGCAGCCAGGCGATGTTGAAATCCTTGCAGGGAGGGGAACTCGGTGGTGCTTTGCAGCTGAAGAGCTGCATAGTACCTGTCAGCCAGAGGAGACAGGGAGAGATATCCTGCTGCTGAGACAGCAACTCTGGCAAAATCATATTCCTCTGATGAACTTGGTTCATTATAGCCTGATTGTAAGATTAATGCACACCTTCACAACAAAGTTATCTCCCACCAGCATGTGACCCCACCCCACCAAGGTGTGTGCTATTTTTTTGACTGTATCTTTAAAAGTGAGAGAATTTTACATCAATCTGTAACAAAGGTATGTATGACTAGAGTTACTCAAGCTCCACCTAAACTTAGAGAGATAGTATAAAAGCAAGTAGACAATAGAGGAAAAGTTAGGGAAGACTCTATCATAACTTCTAGAATCAGTCAACAGGTTGAATCTGTCATCTCCCCCATAGGGACACCTATTGGGTAAGAACTGTACTCTGTCCATGCTGAATGTTTTTATTAGGGATCTTACCTTTTTTATGTATTGCTTTGAACATATTTTTGCAGTCAGATACTACCATTAAACATTCTTGAAACTAAACCTTTCACAATTTTATATTAATAAGGAACGTTGGTCTGTGAACTGTTGGTGTGAGTCCTTCACAGGCGATGGCAGTCACTGGCAAAAGACGACATGCTCAGTGTGGTGGAAGAGCCAGTGAGGGATCACAAGGTGAGAACACCCGCTGAAGGTTCTCCCTCATGCTGTTGGTGTGTGTGTCCCTGAACGAGTCAGCCAAGCCATTTTCCAATCTAACTGGACTGCTCAGTGAAGGGTGCCCATAATGGGACACTAAGAGACAAGGCGGGACACAAGGGTCTTGGCTTTCCTGGGGTGCTGACAGACAACTCAAATACTGAGGGCTGAGTAAACTCCCCACACCAAGGGTTGAGGAAATCTCCCCTTCTCACATGACAAGGGCTTGTAAGAATGATGGGGACAAATTTTTAGCAGGTTATATAGCAATAAAATGGATAATGTTTCTAAAGCAAAAGAGGGTAGATTCAGTTTAGATAGGAAGAAGACAGTTTTCACAATGAGAACTGCAAAACACTGGAATAATTTGGCCTGAGATGTGGTAGATGCCTCATCTCTAGAAACAATGAAGGTCGGGTTGAATGGGAATCTGAATAGTCTGACATATTAGAAGATGCCCCTGCTCACTGATGGGAATTTGGACTAAATGACCTTTCAACATCACTTCAAACCCAAACCATTCTATGGTATTATGATTTTTGATATGATGTGCTCCTTCATGTGAAACCCTGATTTTTGGGTAAAAAAAATTAGGGGCCTCATCAGAAATATATAATAACTTGAATTAATTAATTAAATAAAAATTTTATGCTTTCATTTCTCAAACATAGGTAAAACATATGGGTAAACCAAACTAGAATTCTATCCATGTACATCTCATATAGAAGGTGGGAAGATGAAGTTATCTTTTGTGTAGTTTGAGCAGGTGATATATCTCTTTACATATAACTTCATAAAATTAAATTTTATTAAAATTTAATTATAACATAAAAAAGCAAATTAAGAATGTGCATTTTTGAGTTTTTGGTAGCAGATGACAAAAGGGCAAATATTGAAGAATGCGAAATAATCATCAAGAAGCTCAAGCTAGAAACTTACTGTACAGTGTTGGAAACAGGAACCACAAAATTTATACAGCACATGGAGAATGTGTGTCTGAGCTTATTGGCATTAATAAACAGGTAAAAAATTATTATAAGTTATGTGCTTCAGAAATACATAGTTCTGAATTGGCTGACTGAAATTTATGGACTCTTTCTACAGACATTTTCCTTATATCAAGGGGCCAGGTCCTTATTAGATAGGGAAGTCAGTGAAGAAGAAATTTGGGGAATTTCTGTGCCTTTGAAAAGTGGTTTAAACTTGAGCACAGGCTTGATTTTAACTTTACAGAGGTTGCACTTAAAAATATAACCAACAGAAATGTTCTGGTTTATCTGGTGCATTTTGCTGTCCATTTGTAGTTATTTATATGTTCTTCTAATATAAATTCAGATCCATTGTACAAAAATACCTGAAATTGTAAGATGACCACAGTTTTATTTAAATATTTTTCATTTAAATTTTCTCTTCAAATGAAGGCCATTTAGTTTATCACATGAAGATTTCTACTGTTTATTAACTTATAATTAGCAGCACATATGAAATGTACCTGGGGTGCTTTGATGGTGTTTATTTCAATAGAAATAAAAATGCAGGAAAATTAATTTTGATAAATTCCAAATTAAACACTGAAGAAGGAAAAATCTGTTTAGGACATTTTAAAATTTATGTAAACTCTTCTGCAAAATTACTGCTACTGTGTGAAAGAAAATTGACTAATTAACTTGTGTAAAACTAGGCCCTAATGGAACTATCTGACTTTGAACTACTGTTGTTTTGAACACTCAGGTGGAAGGACAAACACAGGAGAGACATCAATAGAATTAATGATAGTGGCAAAGTGGCTTCACAAAGATGAAACTATAACGTTCTCCTATAGTCCATGGGGAGAAACAGTAGGAGAGACTAGTTTTTTTTTTAAAAAGGAAAATGACAATAATCTATTTGATATGGTGTATATAAGTATAAAAATTCCATCTGAGAGCAGCAGACTTCACAGCACCAATTTTCTTTGCTTCTAACATTGGCTGTAGATCTCTTATAAGTATTCATATTCATTTTATCACTCTAACCAACTGCTTTAATATATAATACACCAATTATATTAAATATTTGGGGTTTTATGGCTTTCTTATACTCAGAAAACAAACAGTGAGATGCAGTGCAGAGGGCTTTAAAAAAGCCCCAGTGCATTTTTCTTAAAGAACTGAATTTGTTAAACAAGGTAATGTTTCCTCTTAGCTATACTGCCTTTTAGTGCTGGATATGTGATCTAGAAGTTATTTCTCCTTTCATACAATAAATACAAATGGCTTCTCTAAGAATAAGTTGGAGGTCTGTTGTCACATATGCCACAGTTGAGACAGCCATGGTACACAAAATAACACCATACAATTTCAGAAGGCTTTAAGCATTTGCTCATACAGAACAACACCATACCACATCAGAAGACCTCAGACATCCACCCATGCAGAGCAGCACCATAACACGTAGAAGGCTGAAAGCACCTGTTCTTTTTGTTCTTCAGCCCAGCCTTTTATACCCCTCATGTTCATGCATTGCACCTGTGTGACCTCTGTTCCCTTTGGTGCTTGGTCAGTGCACCTGGGCACTCCCTGTCTCATTGCTTTCAGTGCTGCTCACCTGCTTCTCACAGCTGTAGCCCACTGGGGATGAGGCTCTGCCACAGCCCCACTCCCAATTACCACAGACTGTGTATCTACAGAGGCCTTCTTAGGGCTGTGAGATTTAAGCAGTACGACATAGCCCCATTAGGGAGATTTTTGCCAATTCTGCATAGAGGTGCTTTTCTTCTGGGTTATAGGTTCTGCCAGACTTCTAGGGATAAAACATTATCAAAAAAACATTAGAACTGAGAGTGGCTCCTCAGGGAAAAGCTTACTAAGAGGACCAGAGCAGCAGTCTTTCCACAAAAGTTTTCCAGGCAAGTCTGTGGAGCTTGGCACTACTCACTGCTCTTCTACAAAGAAGCAATTTGATTCCCAGCCTCACAGCTGGCTGATGGGTCTGGTACTGCACCCACAAAAGCAAACTTTTCATGTGGAAGGGATCAAGCATGGGCCTCCATCTGCCTGATTGCAATTTCTGTACAAGTTCTGCTGAATGAGGGCTGCACATCAGCTGGACGTGGGAAAAATCACAGGAGAAAGATGTTCCCTCCTCTATCCTCCTTCTCACATTGCCTCAGAAGGGACATATCAGCTTTGGTAAAGACTGTTTCCTGTGTTATTACACAGCCTCCTGCTTTGCTAGATAACAGAGTAGTCCTTGGGTAGAACATATTTGCTGGGGTTTTTATCTTCAACTACAGCAGTGTGACCCATGGTGTTACTGATTATTAATGTATATTTATAATTTTACTTTATCAACCATATATCCTCTTGTTGCACAGTTTATTGTTGAAATATTTCAGATTCACCATGAAGCTCCTAATATAAAATCTATGGCTCCATTATATGGATGTGAAATCAAAAGAGTATAACGTGAACAACCACAGAGCCATCTGCAGGGTAAGATTTTAGATATCACTCTTTTCTATTTTATTAATTTTTGTATCCTCTTACAGAGAATCATACTATTAGATAAACATTATTAAATGTAAGTCCATATAAGAAAGCAAAATTCTGGTGACTAGGGAACAATTTTCTGAAGGGAATTGACAGGAATGGATCCATTATCATTAATTGGTGTTCTCCAAGCAAGTTACTTGTAGAAGTTAAACCATTACTTCTTTTTGCTTAGCTTTCACTCTCCCTTAACAGCACAATCTACTTCCACTGCACTGTAGGAACACTACAATCAGTTAACTACTAGTTAGAAATCAGCAGCATTTCCTGTTGCTATTTCTGAATGTACCAGGATATCCAACACAAAATTCCATGTGCTGTGCAATTGTCAGTACAGCTTCTCAAAGAAATTCCAAACATTTTCTTTGAGTGGCCAACAGTAAGTGTAGTGGTAAAACCCAGAATGATAACAGAGATTGTTTTCTCTTTCTTTAATGCTGCCCTAGTGTGCATTTGCTTGCCAACACAGTTCTTGCTGTTCATGCAGTATGTATAATTTGTTTAGACCTTCTCTCAAGTGTAGTGCTGGCAAATGGAAATAGACCTTACAATGACATTACATCCTCTTCATCTTTCATCTTCAGTTTTTGTGTCTACATAACTCAATTTCTTTGCTAGCTGTAAGCACACAGCCTTACACGAATCAGTGGTTTGTCAGGATGATGGGAGAAAGGCATATTGACAAAATAGACTTGGATATACTATGCAGACCATATAAGTTCAAAAATAGTTACTTGTAGCATAGTAAGGAGCTGTTAGGCAAAAAAAAAAAAAAAAAAGATGAAAAAAAAAAAAAAAAAAAAAAAAAAAAAAATCATGAATGAGTATTTTTGCACCCTACCAGAAGTGGAAAGCATTTTTAATTTCCATACCCTTCCTATAGGAAGTGTATGGCAGATCACAAATGGGAGAGTGAGTTGCAACTACTGTAGAGCTGCACTTTCTTGTCCCTGAAATGCACTTATGTAGGTAATCATAAGTGGCCTGTGAATCATTTTTATGCAATTCAGTGGTTTCTCCCTAGAAAGTAAAGACAGCTAGTAGGCCAAAGACTTGACAGTTTTCATACTTCAACTTTCCCATTATCATGTTTTCAAAACTGTGCTCCTCTCCAGGCTTGTAAACTCCAGTAAAATAGAGTTCTATTATCCTCAGAATTTGCCCTGGATTTATTTAATATGTTTTTCAGTATTTTTACTTTGGTTGGTTTTGAGTTTTTTTTCAGTTTAATACTAATGATTCAGGAAGAAGCAGGGGATCTTAAGGAGAGATAATGCTTTTTGCCATGATTTAAAATAAACTACGTGCTGTGGATAAATAGATAGTAAGGTACTTGATCCACCCTTGGGACCTAGAGGAAAGCTTTACATCCACAAGTGATTTCTTGTTTGTGTACTCTCTTTATCGGCTTTCATGGTCCAGTCTGTGCCAGAGGCTTTACTGGAGCCACTCTAAATCACTGGGTGAACCCTACTCAAGCCACTCCATATCCTGAGGTAGGTAGCATCTGGCAGCAATATGATTAGCATGAAAAAAACAACAGCTCTTTTTTCTCCATCACTTGCCTTTTGGGCATTGCTCATATTTTCCCTGTCTTCAGGTAAAGATAAGGAAAACAGTTATCTACAGCCATAAATTGTTTAAGATGATCAGATTAAAAGCAATGAGAAAATACTATCAGCTGCAAAACAAGAACATGACTTTTCACTTATAAAATCCGTTTAAGAAAAAGAAAAGTTGCCAGAAGAACAAAAAAATCTATTGAAAAGTGTATCTGTGTGCAGATGTTTAAAATTATTTTTAAGAAGCACGTTATGGTATTGTAAAAATAATGTAGTTAAATAGTTTAATAAAAATCTTATGAAATCTGAAATTAGTTTACACATCAGTAATTGTTTAAATATGATTTATGCTCAAACTGTTTTAATTTATATCTTTTCTTAAAACAGTGCCCCCTGTTTTCTAAGTAGATGGAGTTTTTTATAATAAAATATGACAAATCAGTACATTAATTAAAAACTTTCCTATGGTATGGATATAAAAAAAAGTGCTATATTATATTTTCTTTATAACTTCTATAATGCCTATATTCATTCTTAGAAACTGTTCCAATATTGCAGCTGCAAATCAGGAGAAATTCAATAACAGACTTCTTGCAATAATTGATAAATCAATAGTAATAGAATTTTTAATATCAGTACTTTTTGAGAGAGGAAGATCTGCTAATATTCAAGGTTTGTGTTTGTCACCTGTTAAAATTATATGTCCAAATGATAACCATATTTCTGAAACTGAGTCAAAGCTGCAGTGTTGTCTTTTTGTACTTTAGAAACCAACAAGGTATACATTATATCTTTGATCTTCAGAGCCCAAATAAAATGGGGGGGATTTATGTTTTCACTATTCATGACAACTTTGAAAAATTTAATCCTTTTCCTAACCTTTTAATACCAGTGAAATGTGTATGCTGCATTGACTGCTAGATGTGATCCACAGTAAGGCCTTCAGCTTACTATGGGAGTTATGGCGTTTGGATCCCACAGCAGTAGATCTTCATGAAATTTAATGTCTGGTGAAGCTATTCACAAGGACAGGACAGATGTGACCTGGCACTAATCCGATGGGAAACTGCTGAAACACAGCATTAGACCATATTACCTAAAAAGCTCCTGAAAATGCTCCTGCTATAATCAATAGTACATAGATGGAGCAGCTGCTAAGAACCATGCACAATACTTTTATCACTCTGTTGCTAATATGGCTCAAAATGTTTGGCACCAGCAGCTGAATATTTTAAATACAATTGTTCCTTTTCTTTTTCTTCTGAGACAAACTGATAGACCATGGACTGTTTTAAGATTGCAAATCTGTATGTACTTTTTAAAATATTATTTTAAATTATTTATTTATTTTATTTCATAAATCTAATACAGTTTTCCTCATTTGCAAATTTTTTTAAAACAGTTTAGATGATATAGCTGCCTATGTTGACCCTTCATGGACAGTCAAAGAAGTATGATTACTGAAAAATACTTCTATATATACAAGTGCTTATTTTTGACTACAGGTATTGTCTTTCTGTCTTCATCAATGGTACAGTGTCACAATTTAAAATTCACTTTGAGCTAAAAGTTGCCTTCTTGGTCACTGACTATCAGGAACACATTGCTGTATAATTCATTTTCTTTTTTCTTTGCATACAGCATTGAATTTGCCTCTCATAGAACACATTTTTTGAAGTAGTGCAGTCCACCTGGAAATACTTATCATATTTGTGTATTGTTAACTACTCTACATTGTCTGTGGTCAACTGCATACAGAGGAGAAGGAGACCCCAGAAACTACAGGCCTGTCAGACTCACTTCAGTGCTTGTAAAACATGGGAAATATTATTCTTAGAAGTATCAAAAAGCACCTGGAGTGTTGCAGTCATCAGTCACAGCCAGCACAAGCTTTGTGCTGGTCAAACCTTATTTCCTTCTATGAAGGGGAAACCCACTTCATTTATCTAAGAAAGTGAGTGAATGCAATCCTTTCAGCAATTATTTTGATACTGCCTCTCACAGGCTCCTCCTGGACAAAATATTAATAACCAGGTTACCTCATGGGTGAGCAACTGGCTCACAGGTCAGGCACCAAGGGTTATAATGAATGGTGTGACACCAGTCTGGTGACCTGTCAATAGTGGGGTTCCACAGGGTTCCATCCTCAGTCCTGTGCTTTTCAGCAACTTTACAAATGACTTGGACAAAGAACTTGAAGGAATAGAATATAAGTTTGTTGGTGACACTAAACTGAGAGTAGCTTTAGACTCTTTCAAGGACAGAGAGGCCCTGCAGAGTGACCTTGACAAATCAGAGGGACAGGCAGTGATCAACCATATGGAGTTTAACAAGGACAAGAGTCAGATTCTGCACCTTGCTTAATTTTCAGAAGCAATTTAGAGAGTTAAAAAAGCAGATCTAGTATTTTTTTTTTCTAAACTGTCAGTTGAAAAGAATGTCACCACACTACAATTTCATCATTACAGCTTTAAATTTATATTAATTTTAAACATGTTTATGTGTATATAAGTAATTTGCTTCTGGTTAAAATAATAGCAGCAGATGAGCTTAATTCAAGCAATGTATTTTTAAAGGCTGCAACACAGCTGTGATTATCATCTTTGTGGGAAATTGCACTGGACCACAATTAGTTATCTATTCTTTTAACTATAAAAGTACCCTTCAGTTATTTAACTTGATGTAGTACTAAACATGATCTCAATAGAAAAGTAATAAAAAAATCCATACTACCCAAGTGAACTGCCCTTGTGGTATCGATTAAAGTAAATAAAACCTATAATATTGTGCCTCTCTTGTCTCTTAGATTAATGAATGCATTTCAAGTTTGCTTGTCTGAAGCTTTTATACTTTGGACACTGAATTAGTTTAACATGTATTAAATTACTTACAGTGAAACCTCCAATTATATTAAGACACAATCCTTCATTCAGACAGTTGACGCTGAGCAGCCTGCAGTAGTCAATTACTTCCTCACAGTTCCTTCCAGTGAATCCTGGCATGCAGCTGCAAATACACCAGTGTATTTTAGTGAACTTGCATTTTAAAAGTTAATTGTATTTAATTAGGTTCCATAATTCTATTAAATTATGTTCTTGCAGTAACAAAACAAGTCTCTTACTATTTAAAATAAACAGAATATACTTTCAAGAAATTAAAAATCCCTTGCATAATTCTGAATAATTTTGCTTTTTTCATAAATAATTTCCATCATTGATTAAAATATTTTCAGAAAAATATTTAATATAATCTTCCAGGAAAAAAAATCTAGACTGAGGTAATATTTAATAAACAGTTATAAACAAGTTAACAAAATTTTGGAAAATTATTAGGAAGGATAGGTCAATTTAAGCATAAGAGAGTTGTTTTAATATAAAACTAAAAATGTGATAAGTGAGGAATAAACATCAATCATCGCTAATTAATAAAGAGCAGTATAAATAGTAAATAATGACATGCTTAATTATGTAACACTCTAGACACAACAATGCATAGTTGTTTACGTGCTTGCTTAATTGTAGTTCAGTATTTTCTTTAAAGAAAAAACACTAGCATTCAATTTCTGTGATTGTTAGCTCCATGCAATGCCAGTGGAGTGATGGATAACTCATGTATGTAAAAGGAACTGTAGAAATTTCTTCTGCATCATGTCAGCACTTACTATTAGTAGGAGAAAAACCTTTCCTGATGTAGCCCTCTTATGTTAAAAAAAAATCTCATACACAATTAAAAGAGATGCAATTCAAATGGATAGTAAAGAAGTCTTATTTAAAATCAATAATGGAACAATGTAGAAAAATATTTGAGTACTTATATCTTGACTGATAGATAGACAATCCTTGTAAAGCACACTCGCTATGTTCTTACAGACACAGCATGTTTCCCTGTCATTTCTGGTATAATGGGAAGAAAAGATTTAAGAGAAAGAAAATGGCCAGTTAGCTGAAAATTTGTGTCTGTAAAAGAATTCAAAAGTAACAATGGGAATTTCTGTAGTTGTTTCTCAGAGGTAGTTTTTTTTTCAAATTATTCAGTCCAGAAGCTGGAAATTATTAAGATTATACAGAATTGCTTCTGGTTTTCCTATGTTTTTGCTCCTAACAGATATGAGATCTAGATGTGTTGCTTATGTTTTCTCATTTAGAAAAAAACAATCCAATTCCTGGTTTCAAAATTCATGGAGATTCTCACAGTTACACAGCATACTAGAGTAAGGGATATATTAACCACAGCAACTTCTTGGGCAACAGCATTCAACAGAAAGCAACTGAGTTAACTATGCTTTCTAAATCAGTTAAAGATGTCTATCTGTGGGTATGGTTCTGAGTCCAAGGAATGCACACACACATTTAGCATGTCCAGAAGTTTAAGTCATTTACCTTACTTAAGTGTTAAATTGGATGGATTTAATCAGAAATCCCTGGAAACCAACCACAATTCATGCACAGGACCATTTGGACAGAGGTAAATGGATATGGAAAAAACTTCTGTAAATGGTTATATGTTTTGAGGCTGGTATAGACACAAGCACATAAGAACACTTTAAACAAGTTGCGGTGCACCACATAATCCTCACCTTCCTCTTGAAAAAGATGCTATATGCAGTCATATTTCTGCCATTTCAGGTACTTCGCCTCAAAATTCTCATGAAGTCTATTTGTAGCATCCCATGGACTCTCCCACCTCAGTCAATTCCCAAGTCCTCAGCCCTGGCAACACCAGTAACTTCTCACCATAGAGTCAGTCCTCCTGAGAGAAAAACTCCTCCTGGGAGAAAAACAGTCTCCCATTTGGACTTCTGTGCCTCAACTTCCCCTGTGTAACTTCCCCTGGTTTCTCCTTTCCCTGTCCCCTCACTGGATTGGTATCTCTGGTGGCCGCCCCCTTTCCCTGGAGACCAAACCCCTCTGCCCAGCCCTTAGCTCTGCCCCCTACCCCTTCCCCTTCTTAAGCTGTCTCCTCCATGTGGTTGGCCTCTTTTACCTTGCTGGGTTCCCTTCAGCCACATGTGACATCCTCCTCTGGAGTAAAACCCTGCAAAAAGAGCCTTTCTTGCCTCTATTGCTGAGCCAGCTGCAGTGAGTGTTGAGTGAGGGTCTGCCTGCATTGCCTGAAGGTTATCTCAGCTTGCTTTTCTACGGGAAAGGCTTGTGGGGAACAGGTTATAGGCAGCAGCAACCACTACTCCAACACCTGCATTTTTATCTGTTCTTAACAAAGTTCTAGTACATGTATTTAAAAGGAGTTTTATGTAGTTAAAATGAGTTTTTCATAATAAAATTTGCATATGAAAGGAATGTAAAATAATAATAAAAACAGTTTTTCTATATTTTCTCGTAATTTTAAATAACATCTGAAACTAAATTCAGAGCAACACAATTACAATATTTGTTTTTACCGATGATATGAAGTGAAAAAGTTCCTAGATTTTTTCTTCAATCTATGATTATTTCATTAAATAGATAATCTAGAAAGACAATTTTAGAAGTGGCTTCTTCTAATTTTTATACTTGCTCATTTTTTTTTTGTTTGTTTGTTTTTGGTGTTTGTTTGTTTTGGTTTTTTGGGGGTTTTTCTGTTTTCTTTTGTTTTGTTTTGCAATAAACATGCTAATGTCAGGAAAGGGAAATGAGGTTAACAGGAAGAAAAAGTTGGCAGTAAAGTTCCAAAGATAGCACCAACAGAACATATTTTCTTAGAACGCCCTTTCACATTTTTTGTGATCTTATTATCATAAAGTACATTGATTATAGAAGAAGATAGAAAGCAAACAATCATAGTTTATGTTGATGAATATTCTTGTTCATTGCCTATTTGAATTCACTTTAAATTTTGACAATTAAGAAAAAATGCAGCTATTTGATTCTTAGCACAAAATTGTGTGTGATACCAAGACTGAAAGTATGGAATTAGAATACAAGATAGTCATACATCATAATTGAAGTGGAGAAAATTAAATTGGTTCTATTTTGTTATATGCTTAGAATGGAAAACAACTGCTTTTCCAAAGAAAAGCAGGATATGTTGAGAAGAAGCTGGGATTGTGTAGGATATAAGAATGTGGTCTGGGCATAAGGAGCACAACACAGCATAGGGGGAAGCAAAATAGAAAGTAATGAACTAAAAAGTTAAATTCAGCTATTATTTTAACTTGTACATGCATCTGACCTAAACACCATTACATTTATTTATGATGTTAAAATGCTATAGAAGTGGATCATATCGCAGTATGACATGTAGTATTACACCAAATGTAGTATGAAATACATTCAGTGTATTGAGGAGTGACTGGATGGAGATATAACATAGAGTATTTGACAATGATTACCAAAAATGAATTAAATCTTCACTTAAAATGTTGATGAGCAGCTACAAATCTCCCAAATTAAAGCAACATAATTAATGGTAGATTTCCTTCGGGTAAAGTGAATTAAAACATGAATCACAAGCAGAAAGTGTCTAAGTGATTTTAGAAAACTGAAACTGCAACTGAAACTAAAGTGATTTTAGAAAACTGAAACTGCCTAAACATAGTTCCTATATGTCTTCTGAAATCCTCTGTTATTCAAGTAGCTAATGCAGAATATGAATTTAAAAAGGAAATTTTGAATTCTTAAAACAGTGAAGACTGTTGACTGTTGAACTTCTCTATCTATTAACACCTCTTTTGGATTTCAATACTCTGGCAAGACTGCAGCACAAACAAAACTACTGAATGTGATCTTGTGAAAAATATGTAATTAATACTACTTTAAAATGCTTTCTCTCACCTAAATGCCTTCTTTAAAGTACAGAGACATAAATACTTATATTAACTATTTCAGCTTAAGTGGTGGAAAAAATAATTTTAATTTCACAAAAAAATGAGAGCAATATTTTTTATTTATTTCAAAAATCATCAAAATTATTTCAATCAACAATTGAAGCCTTTGAGGCAGAACTAAGGCAGAATACTGGAGATTTTCAACAAGAAATTGGACAAGGTACTAAATAATCTCATCTAAAGTCCCTTTCCCTGAAAGGCTGGACCAGAAGATACTTCAAGGTCTCTTTCAACTTGGGCTGTTCTATGAGTCTCTGACAGTATTGTATATTTATTGTGTTCTAATATTCTGTGATTGTATTGTAACCCTCTGCCTTTGGACAAGGAAAACTGCAAACTTGTGTAGGATGTGTCAAATCACCTGTTCTGGATATTTCTCTGTGGAAGATATGAGTCACTTTCTGGAGTTCTTCTCCTTCATCAAGAATTTCTGGTGGGCAAATTGTTTGCTAGGGTTTACTATGTGGATTGAACACTTTTCACAGTGTTTCTTCTAGCTTGTCAGTTCCATTTAGAGCATTCTTAGTGTTAATGAGCTTATAACCCACCCCAATGTAAAATGGGTTCTTAATTGCCCATTTTTAAGTTCAGTTATATTGATCTAAAGGATGACTTCTATGCTTATTCTCACATGATATTATCAAAGGAAAGATAGTTCAACCACAATGTTTTCCCATAGACATTTCTATTAAACAATTCCTATAGTCCAATGAGGTTCGTGGTACAGATAATTTCTACAGATCCTTTTTGAAAGGATAATTTTTTATGGCTTATTTTTTTGGTTTGGTTTCTGTTAATAGAGGCAATATACATCTGTATATTAATTGATCATATTATGCATATTTTTAAATGCAAACTTCAGCACATTTCATACTAATATACACATATTGTGGGAAAGACTGGTTATATAATAGTAAATTAGCTTATATCTCAGTTTAAAAAATTGGAAAATGAATGATCACTGATGTTCTGTGCTTTAAATATCTATATGGGATGATCTAACTGTATATGAGCTTGCATATGTCTGTTTGTATGTACATCTGTATTTCAGAGTGAGTAAGAATGAAATTTTTAGGATTTTTTTTCTTTGGGAAAAGTGTAAACAGTTCTTATATTTTTATTCAAGTCTTCTCAATTGAATCTCTGCTAATGCACTGTAACTCTGTTCTATACTTTTATAATTTTTTAAAGTTTCTAAGTTCATTTATAATATGTTGTCAGGCTTTTTTGTATCACAGCTTTCAATTTTCTGCTTTTATGAATATCCTAATATTTGAAAAGTGTTTACTTCAGTAATGCTTATCTGAATTTACTCAGGCAGCAAGATAAAAGCCAAAGAAAGGGGAACAGGATAAATTGTAAATTATTACTGGCATAGAAAAAAAAATCTAAAAATATATTTAAACATGAAATCAAATTATACATTGGGTCACGTCTGGTATTTTCAGATGGATAGTTTTTAGTGTGATCTTTCTGAATTAAGCAGTTTTTCTTATGCTGCTTGAAGGATCAATTTAAAGTCTACTATGCATGTCTGTGAACTATAAATTAAATAAGTTCCCTTATCTTTTCAGAAACAACATAAATTTCATGCACCCTGAAAGGGAATAGAACATTTAGTACAACTGTCTCAATTGTCATCAGTGTTTTGAAATTTATATATTTTTAATAGTATTAATAATGAAAAAAATTATAGCCCTTAAATGCTTTAAATCTTTTTATAATGCTCCCAGTATTACAAGAAAATTAACAGAGTAAAGCACAAAAGATAAATATATATCTTTAAAAACAGAAGTTTATAGTTTTCTGTGTTCTCTGTGAATGATGATGTCTTTTCTTTCTGCAGTCTGTGTGATATCATCAAGTGAACCAACAAAGTACTAAAATAAATTAATTTTCAATCTTACCGGCAGTGATAGTTGTGCTGCTGAGCTACACAAGTTGCATTATTTAAGCAAGGCAATAATTCACATGGATTCAGTATTCTCTCACAGAACTTGCCAGTAAATATTGGCATACAGATACATGCAACATCCTATAGAAGAGAGGGAAATTAGAAATAATTATTTGTTGTACCCAAGGCAGTACAGAATTTCATGTTTATGGTGTTTACATCCATTACTAGAGACATCCTAACTAGGACATCTTTTCATTATACAGAGCAGTCTACAAAGATAGAACAGTTCTAATCTCAGATAGATTACAAACTTAATTTAGGACAAGTAGAACAGGCCTTCCAGCACAGATTATACCATACTTGAATTTACTAGATGGAAATATATCAGCTTTAAAATTGCTCTTTTTCATAACTGAATCAAGAAGGAGTTTTATCATTAATTTGGGGTTTTTCCTTCATTTCTGATTTTGTTTCAATCTAATGTTTGCATCTATTAAACACTAACAGTACACAAGGTACATCAATAACCAAACTGCCACTAACAAGAGGAGGAAAGAAAATTATGGGTATCCATTTTCTCCTTCAATATAATGCACAGTCTATGCTTCTCTTTAACAGTGAGAGACATCTGCCAGTTACTGCAATCTCTAATTTGAACAGTAAGAAAAGTAAGTTATTTTACAAAACAAAATATTTCTTATGGCTGACAGTCCCACTGATATTTTTCTATGCTCTTCATAGGCCCTTTGAAGTTAGAAAGTAAAGGAAAAAATAAAGGAATTTTTTCCCCTAATGAAATTGGAAGTGCTTACGTTTCTTTAGAACTGGTCTTAAAGGTATAATCAGGAAACTTCAACTCCCACTGAGACATTTCTATACCTGTGAAACAAACTACTACAACTGTTTGTCTATTGCACAAAATAGTTTGTGCTAGTATATCTAATAGACAAAATATTTAGACAGGTTGCATACCTTATGAATCTATCCCTTCATTCAGCAATTTAGATGTCTCTTTTTCTCTCTGTATATCAATATGTATCACTGCTATGTGATAACTAAGCTTTTGAACTCTTCTTTCACTGTTTAGATTCTGTACAATCACTGCTTTTTGCAGTAGACATGCTAATGAAAGGACATCAACAACTTATTTTGACATACTACCAGGTATGACTTTATTATTAAAACTTCATGAGTTCTGCATGAATTTATTCTATTTTACAAAAAGAAAAAATGAAAGAAAAATGGGAATTAAAAAATTTATGTCATATGAAAAGCAAGAGCAAGACAATAACTAGTTAATAAAGATCACATGAAGCCTCATGTTTGTATCAGATTATTTTATTAGGGAGAGGAAAAATGAAATAAAATAACATGGGTAGTTTCTTAAGTGATCACCATGCAACTGACGTTTAATGGGGAGTTTGGAGGTTTATTCATAAAGATATTATAAAAAGGACACATTGAGAAAATTCTGTTTCTTCATGAAGCATGGTTTAAAAATTTACATTGGAATTAAATATTTTGGCACTTTCACGGAACAGATCCTCCTGTAAGGTATGTCAAAGCATATGGATGACAGGAAGGTGATTAGAAACAGACAATATGTCTTCACAAAGGGTAAATTATGTCTGACTAATGGTCTTTCAATGATCTAGTAACTGCATTGATGGGTAAGGCAAGAGTAAGTGATAACATTTACCTTGACTTCTGTGAAACCTGTGACATCACCCCACACATCATCATTTTTGCTAAATTAGTGAGATAGGAAGAAAGTTGTAAATGCTCCATCGCTTGAAGTGTTCAAGGTCAGGTTGAATGCAACTTCCAGCAACCTGATCTAGAGTAAGAGGTCTCTGCCCACTGCAGAGATGTTAGAAATAGATCATTTAAATGTTCCTACCAGCCCAAATCATTCTGTGATACAATGCTGAGGCAGGATGGGAATGAACAGACTCTGCTCAGAAGGCTGTGAGAGGGAAACTCTGATTTATTTCAAAATACATCGCTCTTTATACAGAGCTTTGTCCTGGCTACTTCCATTGGTCCTGAAGTGAAAACAACCCACACCATTGTCTCTCTTTGACTGAATCTGAGACTGACAGTACAATGCTGTAATTCTATGATTCTCTGTTCAAATAGAGATCTCTAACATTTATACTTACATTTGGCAAATCAATACATGTACCTCTGTTCTGACAGGGCCTTGAAGAACATTCATTGATGTTAATTTCACAGTTGTGACCAAGAAAACCAGAAGGACAATTGCAAACATATCCAGACTGGTTATACTGGCATATGCCTCCATTCAGACATGGCTGAGAGGCACAAGGATCACCAGGTTCCTCACAAAATGGACCTAAAAGAAATAAACATAAAAAAATACAGAGTGTTGGAGTGATGCTTGGCATGCTATTTGATATAGCTTTTTTACTATATCATGTTTCAGTATTTCTTTGTTATTGTTGTTGTTGTTGAGGGATTGAGAGTATTTTATTAATTTTGTGTACCTAAATTTTTTAACACTGTGAAGCTCCAATTATAGCCTGGGACATCTGTAAGCTAACACTGTCTAAAAACAAATAATTTAACATGTTCCCAAATGTTTGTTTTGGTCAATTAACATGGTAGAAGTCTCTGGGAGTGATTAATCCCATCTGTAGCAAAGGAAGGATGTGACTGGAGCCATGGTCCTGTGAGATTCTGAACAGTCACTGAACATCTCACTGAAGTTATTAGTGGATTCCCAGACCAGAAGGGTTCTTCTCATTCCTGTTTACAGATCCAGCTAGTACTGAACCTGAATGTGCTTTCAGTGAGCAACCACACAATCACACATACACGTACTGCAAATCTGCTGGCCATGTGAATCACCATGAAGAACACCAACCACCATCAAGAACAGTGTCTTTTCCCTTAGATAAACACAGAGTAAAATGAACATAAGCAGCAGTGATGGCTCAAACATTTTCTTATCTCTGGCTAGTTAGTATTGAAGCTCAACAATGAACATACACACTCCTTCATTTTCTAAATATAAAGATAAACCCTCATTATTGGATGCCTCAAAAATAAGCATAGATTTTAAGTCTATTTGATTTCCATATCCAGATCCTTATCCTCTTGCTGACTTGATGGCTCAGACCTTGATTCATTCTAGATCTGGATGTCATTCTAGTTTCTAGCTAGTCTAGTTCAAATACCTATCACTCCCCACTATGAGATGTGTTAACACAGAAGTAGTAAAGAAAAGAGTCTGTTACTAAATCTCTGTTGGCCTTGCAAGAAAGCAATCTGTAAAATTTCCCTATGTTGCCCTCTTTAATTATTTGAAACTTCCATGTCTCTCACAAAATTCTCCCTTCACTGTTTGTGACATTCAGTCCTTGCTCATGGTGGTCTGTGTAACATTTGTCAACCACTTATCTGGTTACTTGTTGAACTCAGCAATTTATTACGTCCAGTAGCTTCTTGTGTTCTCCTAAATTTTTGTAACCCTAGGCAGGATTTACCTGATCTGTCTGCATAACTTAACATTTATGATCTACCTAAGTATTTTTGACAACTAACTCTTTTTAATCCTGTGAAACCAAAGATAAAGCAGAATTATAGCATATAAGAATTTCTTTCCCTTTACTTTTGGAAAATTATATATGAAAGATACTTTTCACAAACATTTTACTTTGGTGCACTGATTCAAACCACCTCCGTAATACATACTTACAAATTCCATCAGAAGAATTTTTTAGCAATTTGCTGTAGCAATAATACAGCTTTGTAATAAATTAATTCTGAAGTAGTAATATATATTGAATCAACATTTTGTTAGTAATTTGAATCCACTGACTTAAAAAAGATACTCATGAAATAATAAATGATACCTTACAAAAATATGTATGATTTCAAAATAGTAAACAAAATACTTTTACTCAAATAGTAAACTGCAGGAAAAACATAAATAATTAATTACAAACCACTTAATAAATATGTGAACCTCCTATAATTTAATTATGAATAGAATAGCTATCTAAAGCAACTGTAAGTATGTGGAGCAACATTTACCAGAAGTTTGAAATATCACACTCTGTCTCCATTATATATCAGAACAGCTGATGTGACAGGGTCAAAACATTTTCCTTTTTTCATTCAGTTCAGTAGAAATAGTTATTCCAATAAGGCAAAATGAACTGGATCTATCTTTTATGACAGATTATTCACTTGCCCTTAGCATCAGAGGACACTCAAAGACTCTTTCAAAAATTTTTTGTTATCTCTCATCACCATAGTAACCAAATTACAGTACATTGCAAATTCCAGATGTTAGGGCTTGCGAATAGGGAAAGCTAAGGAGACTATTCTTCAGAAAAAGGCCATTAATTTGTATTAGTGCATATGTAAGAGAACATTTGCAACATGAAGTGAAAGGGTTTGGTCAATTCTCTCTTATTATCCAGTCTACTATCCAGCTGTCCTGTTCTACTTCAGTACAACATTGTACCCCAGCAGTACCCATAGATGGGGTTATATATCAAGGCTCACCAAATTTTTTTCAATTATTAGTCACATTTGACAATAATGGGTGCTCCTCTCCCATCCACAACAATAATCAGAAATAGGAAAATGTGCAAAACGGTGACTCCATTTGCTCTACCCAAAGAAAAGCCAGAAAGTGAAGTCTCACTAGGTGACTGGAATAATGAGTTTTTCCTGCCATTGTTTCTACCCCTGAATCCATTCACTCCTCCACAGTTTTTTGTGGTGCCATTATAAACATTTCTTAGAGTCTTGTTAAAAAATAGCTCTCAATGGGATTATTAGAACAAGGAAGGCCTAAATTAACAAAATAGAATAGAACAATGAAGACCAGTGAGGAAAACGAGATGAAAGAGACACCTTTGGTAATGTTATGCTCATTTCTAGCAAAACTAGGAAAACAGTATTGTTCTGACAAAAAAAAAAATGATAGTGCAACATTCTTTTAAGAGAAGACTAAAGTAGCTAGAAGATGAATAAAGAAAAGCCTGTGAGTGGATAAGGAAACACTGTCAACCACACCATGAGAAATAAAGGAGAACTGCAGGTTTCAAGGATGGCAAAAAAAGGAAAAGGTATTTCACTTATTACATTTCTTTCCTTGGCATTTCCTTGCAAAGGGAGCAAATTTTTTTATTTATTTATTTTTTTTAATATGGGGAAGAACAGTGCATTTAGTATACACTGGTAGCCAATTATCTAACTAGGTGAAGGGGTATTAATTTAAATAAAGATATTGACTCATGGTCTAAAACACAATGTCTACCAACACAGCACAAAAAATCTACCAATGTCTTTTATGAAGAATTCAGTCTTGAGCTGGATTTTTTCCTTACTCATTGACAACAATTATGTCTTTGATATTTATCTTCCTTATAATTTCCTGTATTCAGCATCTTACGTGAAAAGCAAGAGCAACATTCTTTCAGCTGAATATCCATGCCTGATGAGTTTGACAAATCAACTCAATAAATGGAATTCTGGAGAATTAGTGGTTTGAGATTTCCATTCTATCATTCCCGAACCCTATGTCACACTCAGTCTATTTGCTACATATGATTCAAAGGTGACTTGATTACAGGTCTTGGATGGGGAAAATATTAAGCACTAAAGGGATCATTAATTAAGAGAGAAGAGTGTAAGAAAAGCCAATTACTGAAGAGAGAATCAGAATGATATAATTTAAGAAAAACCTCACACATTTTTACCACAGATCTCTTTATCTGACTACCATGAAAGAATAGAATTCTAGATGTGCTGTTTTCACATCAATGCATTTAAAAAAAATACTTCTTTAACTGCGTACAAGAAGACAACTATACAGAAGAGGACATTTGTAATCTAACAAGTTTTGGTCAGAAGAGATTAATGACTGGTCTTCTAAACTTGTAAATCTATTTATCTACTTTGACCCAAGATATATACAAAACCTTTAAAAATTTGTGCAAATCATAAATTATTTTTAAATTATTTTACTAAAATGCACATTTAGTCATTATAAGTGGCTCTTGTTGCAGTATGTTTAAATAAATACTGAAATTCATATCCATGTTAACACTTACTGATATCCTAAATGTTGTGATTAGAAGCAAGGTAAAGAGGGAATAGGACAAAAATAGATCTTTATAATCTGATGTCAAATGCAAGCCCCAGAAAAAAGACAATATTTAAACAATGAACAGTGTAGCTAGGATCAGCACATCAGTCCAATTAGTATATACATATTTGAAATGTTTGTACATCTTCTGAAGATGTGAGACTAAAATTTAAAAAAAAAAAGGAAAACAAATTTTCTTAACCACACAGATTTGATACATGACCTTCAATACCTTCAATTTTACTTTGATATCAATAAAAATATAGTATAGTCATAGTATGTGGCTTAGATGCTGTGCATTTCTGTTGCCAACCATTTCAACAGGAGTAATTTTTCCCTCAGTGAGACCCAAAAAGAGACATTTGCTGAAAATACTGAAGTCCCCATAGTACTCACTGATGAATTATCAGCTACTCAAAGCTTATTCAAATTCTCAGGAAGATAAATGCAGAAACTGTGTTCTAATGGGAGATGGTTGATTCCAGAAACTTCGGTGTAGGAAAAAAAATAGCTAATAGACTGAATGCCCTGATTAAAGGGGAATTTCCAAGAAATTAAAAGTATCATCAGTAGGACCAGTTCACCTTTGTCTTTCAATATAATGAATTATTGTTTGCTCTACTTCAATAAAATAAAATAAAAATTGTGGAAGATTAAAAAGCAGGAACAAATGAGTAAAGGTTATCTGAAAGACCAAAATGAAAGATAATGAATTTTAGTTTAAGAAACTGAACCTTATTTTCAGCATCCTCTGTTGTTTTTACACGTTAAAAGAATAAAATCTTTCACTAAACCAAAACTAATGACTGAAGAACCCCAGTTTGTCCTTGTTTAATTTGACTGTATCCCACCTAGTCTTCCTTTCTATGGTTTCACTGCCATGTTATAATGATAACCCATTTAAAGACAAAGGACATTTCTGATGCCATTGATAAATGTCACTCAATTTGTTAACATATCACAAAGTGACACACAAATATCTGAGTTTACTGATTAAAATAAGTAGTTTCTATTTCAATTGAAGTATTTCTGGACTTCACATTTATGGAAACATTTCTCTTCCCAAGCAGCAAAATATGTTAAGAATCATATTAGCATACTACACTTTAATATGATATAAGTACCCTCATTTTGTTGTTCCTCTAATGAAAAGTCAGTATTTTCTAGAGCAGTTATGCATAAAGCAGAGTAGACTGATTCAGGAAACAGCATATGTTATTGTCAATTAT